GGCAAAGACCAGGTCGCACGTTCGAGTTCACGAAGATACGGCTGGGTGCAAGACCCGTCCGTGGCAAGCGCAAGCACTGGGGCACCTGGAAGCTGGGCCGACTCCTCCGGCGCAGCATCGAGAGGACTCCCGCGACCGTCCTCAATCAAAACCTCGGGATGACGCGAGGGATGGGGAATGTCATGTCATGCGCATCGTGCAGAAATCTACAGTCGGTGCAAGTACGAACTTCAGAGGCAATGGGAGATGAGGATGATGAAGAGAGAGCAGGAGGGAGAGGGAGAAGTGAAAGTTGGAGACGGAAGTGAAGGAGAAGGAGGAGGGTTAACGACGACTTTGACGACGAGGAATACCATGATTATGGGAAGGGTGAGAGTGAGGATGAGGATGAGAGCCGACTGTATGTTTTGTTTTCTGGCCTGTACGATGGAGCAGAGATATTGGCTCATTGCAGCTCTGATGTCACGGTCTTGCACGAGGGTGAAAAGAAACAGTCGAACTACCACAGAGTGGGTTGGCAGCCGTTGGTGTGTACGGCCCCGAGGAAGTGTTGCGCTTATCAGTGTGTGTACATGACTGTAGCCACGTATCAACACAAACGATATACGGTTGCAGGCGTTTGGTTTGAACGACGGCCATACGTTGTTGTTTCGGCGCGGCCCGGCAGCAGGGGAGATTCGAGGGCAGGCCATGATGACAGGAGGTGATGCAACGGTGCAACCTCTCAGGATGAGTCAATCTGAGCGAATCGAGTGGAGTACAGGTTATCAAGTTCGAGAACTACCCTGCGCCGCCTCCAGGGTCGGCGCGACCGCGATGATTGCAGACACAAAACTGTTGTGCACACTATCACCCCTTGCACGTCCTGCCTACATCTCGGGCGTCACTGTGTCCTTGCATGGCGTTCTGTCTGTGCGCTGTGTCCCATGGGCTTGAGCCATTCCGCCGAATGTCAGAAGAAGTGAGAGCTTACCAGGATCGTGGAAGGTATCTCGTCGGATGCACAAACGGTCTCTCCAGATACCTGTGGCATCATGAGGGCCTATTGGTTGGAGGTCTCTTCGGGGACTCTTGGGAGCGCCTCGGAGGCCTTTGGGGCGCTTTCGGGACCATTTTTGGAGGGAAACGCTTGACATGTCAGCTCGTATGGCCCCTCTTCGCCCCATTTTGGGCGCCTCTTGGGACCGTCTTTGGAGCCCCAGTGGCTGTTTGGGGGCCCTCTCAGGCAGTCCTAGGGCTTTGAGGTGGGCCTCAAGGGCCGTCTCGTGACGATCTTTGAGCCCCGTGGTCCGTCGTGAACGCTGTGAGTCAGCAACAAGCTAGTATGTCAAACATGTACGTTTTCCAGACGGAATGTGGGACGAGATTTGCTTCGTGGACCCTTTTCGCTTGTTCTCTGGGCGTAAGCTTGGGCCGTCTTGGGGGCCTCGTGGGCCGTCTTGAAACCATCTCGGAGCGTCGTGGGGCCAGCTTTGGCCGCCCCAACGCTCTCTTGGACTGCCTGCTCTGTTCTGGGGCTCTTGGCCGTCTCGGGGGAGGCTCATGAGGCCCCGGGGATGCGCCTCTGCACTACATGTTCTTACTTCCTCCGCTCTTTCCATAATCAGGAGGGGGAGAATCACACAGACACAATCAATCGTCGATTCCAAAGGAAATATGGGAAAATATGGCAAGTGGAGGGGGGAAGACAAAAACTCAGAAAATATTGGAAAATATTGTGAATCCTATTATTTGTGTATTAATTTGTGTGTCCCAGGGCCCCTTCACATAAGTCTGACAGCATGGCGCTCTTCCACATCCTGTGCCTCCTCGTCGCCGTCGTCGTCGTCGTCATCATCGTCGTCGTCGTCGTCCAACCTTACCAGTTTAGAACCATTTGCGCAAGCATTTCCCGACCTGTTCTCTTGACTCCTGAGAGGTTAAGTTTAGCTTCGGTGCCGGTATATCCGCGGTCGAGCACTGGCCTTCTCTGGCACGATCCTTCTTAATCTGGCTTGACCTGGATCAATGTTCGGACGGGGCTACGACGAGGATGAATCAGTTCTGGAACGCTCTGCGAAGTCCGTGGCGCCCGAGACATCCTCCAGAGCCGCGGGATCTCAGAGATTCTAGATTTATCCTCACCCGAATGTTTCCTCGCCTGGCTTCGTCTGAAATGTCCGGCTTTATCTAGCTTGATCCGGCTCAATGGCTCCTTTATTTGCTCAATCGCCTCTGATCGTTCGGACGAAAGACCTCCCAGGGCCCGCCGCCAGGCGTGCGGTCGCTGGGACCGCGCTCTCAGGGGCTGCATGCAGCTTTTCCATATGATGGTCAGTGAACCTCTAGGCCTCTTAGATGGGGTCCGAGTGGATGAGATCGGAGGATCGCGCCGCATCGCCGATGCATCGACGATGCGGCTCGATGTGGAGACCGTTGTTCCCCATGCCGACGTCAAGCCGATGCATCGCCGATGCATCGCCGATGCATCGCCGATACATCGGCGATGCATTGGCGATGCAGCGCGATTCTTAGACCTCATCTACTCGGACCCCATCTAGGAGGCATCGCCTCTAGAATCGTGCGATGCCCAGTGTGGAATTACTCCAACGTGGGGGTCTGGCAAAAGACAGCCTTCATGGCTTGTCCGGGTGGGTCTACTATTGCTCGTTTGGTAGATGTGTGATCTCTTCTCTTTTATCATGAATTCCGAAGTACTTGAATAACACCATCTTAGTCAACGCGGGCCACGAACAGTGATTCATTGCGATCTAGGCGGCGCAATCTATGTGTCGCAATCAATGGGGTGCAAGCATCGTGGTGCAACTCATGTATGTGGTGCCATGTCTGTGGCGCCAAGTAACGCCATGCAGTGCGCCGCAATGCCACGCGGTGTAACGCAATGCCGCGCACAGTGCAAAGCAATGCGGTGCAAATCAATGCATTTCAATGCAACGCAACGCAGTGCAAGTCGAAGCACTGCGGCGACGGGCGGCGACGAGCCGGCTGGGCCGCCACTGGGGCCCAGAGGCGACGGCGGCGACGGGAGGCGACGGGCATCCACAAGCCAGCGGGGCCGCCTCTGAGACCCAGTTGCCAGCGGCGACGGCGGCGGCGATGGGCGGTAACAGGCCAGCCAGACCGCCACCAGAGCCCAGTTTCATGTAGAGAGCAGGTAAGAGCCCCTAAGCGCGCATGACTGATCCCCTGGCCCCTCCCTGGGGACAGTCTTGTCTGGGCAGCTGTTACCCACCACGCCTGTGTGCTGGGTTCGCTTTTGGGATCCGCAGCTCCCGCCGCCCTTCCCCGCCCCTCCCTCCCTGCTCAGCGCACGGCCTGGTCAGTTCGGCACACCCCTCACGCGCCTCGTGGCCCCACAGGGACCTCCATCTGCGGTCGGTCTCGGTGGGCCCAGCGGCATGGCCTCCCCGCGCCCCTGCCGGCACGCGCCTCACGCGCCTCACACGTGGCTCCACGGAGAACGGCCACAGCGGGCGCAGACGTGTGGCGCTCCCGCTCCCACCTCGGCACAGCCCTATCGCGGGCCGTGTGGCCCCACGCGGAGTTCCCTTCGCGGTCTCCGCGGGCGCCATGCTTGTGACGCCCCCGCTTTCCAGTTCTGGGCATACGTTCACGGTGGCCGTTGCCCCACGGTCCCCGGGAGCGCAGGCGCCTTTGCGTCACAGCCCTCACGAAGATCGCGGCCCCAAAGGGAGCTTCACCCGCGGTGTCGGTGGGCGCGGGCGCCCGGCGTCCGCACGCCCAGTTGGGCACAGCCCTCGCGCGAGCCGTGGCCCGCTATGGAGTTGCACCTGCGGCCTCCGCGGGTGCAGGCGGAGGAGGAGGAGGAGGAGGAGGAGGAGGAGGAGGAGGAGGAGGAGGAGGTGTCTCTGCGCCCATTTGGGCACACCCGTCACGCGGATCGTGGCCACATGGGGAGCTCCGCCTAAGGTCGCCGTGGGCGCACACGCACGGCGTCCTTTGCCCTTCTTCGTGACCCCATATGGGGACTCGGCCCTGCCCCTCCCTACCCTTGCTCGTCCTCGTGGACCTTGCCCACGGCCTAGTCAGTTTACTTGTCCCCCTACTTCTTCTCATCTGCCTTTCGGTGCCCATACCTGCATCAATTTGGGCTCTGTGCTAGCTCATCTGTATGGCCCCAGAGGGTCAGAAGCCTCCCCACTGTCCATCCGCCCTGGGACAGGCGACCCCGATGGTGGAACAGACATGTCATCCTTTGCCCCTCGAAGAGCACAAGCGGTATGGTCATACATCTGTTGAGGTCCGCGCGGGTTTCTTCGTTGATCCGCACTTGACCCCCGCGCGGAGCGCGCCACAGGCGCTCCCAGGGGGCCCAGCGCCGACTCAATGCAGCCCACGCGGGCCTCCAGCAGTTTATAGTATGCCGATGTTTTATGTCAACGTGTGCTTATGCTTTATGGCTATACATTCTAACTCCCAACCGCTGGTCTCGGATTCCGACATCCCCTGCCCGTCCATCCCCCTCCCCCCCAGAGCCCCCCCTCATTGGAAGTACGTGGCGGGCGCCGAGGTCGCTTTCAACGGCGTACGTCTTCTTCGTGTACGAGTTCGACGAGGCAGGGGGAGGGCGATGGAGAAGAGGGGTCAAAAATGGAGGAGGACGAAGAGGACGAAGCGGAGGAGGAGGGGGAGGAGGAGGAGGAGGAGGAGGAGGAGGAGGAGGAGGAGGAGCAGAAGGAATGGACCCATGCAGATGAAACAGTGCCCACTCGGTCACGCGATGCCAGACGCCCAGGCCAGGTCGAGCCTGGCCGTTCGACAAGGTCTTGCCCCCCGGCACTCCGAGGGGCCCAACTGAGAGCCTGGTCGACACGCTGTGCGCAACGGCAGCCTCACGAGCCTGCCAGCGAGCCCGAGAGGCGTCCATGTGAAGACAGCGGAGGGAGGAGGGGATGAGGAGGAGGAGGAGGAGGAGGAGGAGGAGGAGGAGGAGGAGCAGGAGGAGGAGGAGGAGGGGGAGCAGGCGGAGGCGGAGGAGGATGCGGAGGCAGAAGGGGCAGCGCGCACAGTTGGCCTACGAGGCTTGCGCGTGCTACGAGGACAGGCTGTGCGGTGTGCGCAGGAAGCGTGCCTCGCGGGGCGCACAGGTTCGTGCGGGCGGTGTGCACGGGAGTGCGGTCGCCGTGTGCACGGGCTCGAGTGTTCGCGTATCGGTGTGATAGCGCTTCCCTCCGTTTCAGTCCGCTTCAGTGCGGCGAGAATCGCGGGACGCCGCGCGACGCGCCGCCGAGCAGAAGTGCATGCCGGCCGCCGAGCGGGAGTGCCCGCAGTGGCCTGTGATCGGAATCGGAGAAGGAGAGAAAGAGAGAGAGGGAGAGAGAGAGAGAGAGAGAGAGAGCGACACACAGGGAGGCAAATAGATCGTCAGACAAAGAGAGAGAGAGAGAGAGAGAAACAACAACATATCAACAAATATATAAAGAGAGAGGGGCACGGTGAGCGAGAGGGACAAAGGTAGAGCGCGAGTCAGGGTCCGGTGCGGAAGGGGGGACAGGGTGAGTGGGGAGTTGTGGGGCGGGGTCGGGGGGGCTGGAGGGTGGAAGTGGGTAGAAGTCCGAGGGTGGGGCGGGCGAGGCGGAGGCGGCCGATGACGCGGAGAGGACTCACGGGGGAGGCCCAGCAGGGACCCCGAGCCCGGGGTGGCCTCTGCTCGGCGACGGCGCCCGAGGCCCCCGACCAGTCCGAGGGCGCGCCGTACCTGTCGCTCGACGGGCTGAGGACGGCCGGCCGCCCACCGCCTCTCCCGAGGAGGACGCGGAGAGGCAGGAAGAGGGGGAGGGTCACCCCCCACCAAGCCACCCGCCGCGGGAGGCAGGCCCCGAGCGGGGGGGTCGGGGACTGTGGGCCCCGGGAACGGAAACGGCAGGGCCGTTTTTTTTCTACTGTTTCCAAGAAAATGCCCCGGGAACGGCAAAAAAAACAGCGACCGGAAACGGCAACAAAAACGGCTCCAGGATTGGAACCGGAGCCGGAACCGGTCAAAACACGGCTACGGAACCAGTAAAAAAACGGCGTCGGGACCGGCAAAGAAAACGGCAAAACGGAACCGGTAACAAAAACGGCCTTGTCGTTACCAGGGCCCACTGAGGTCGGGGAGGCTCGGGCTCGGAGGCTCGGCGCTCTCGGAGGCGGTCGTCGGTGCTCGGAGGTGCTCCGGCCTCGGGCTGCTGCTCGGCGGCCGCGCCCCGCCGGAAGCGTTGCGGGGGCGGCAGGGTCGTGCCCGTGGGTCACCACCGGAGAGGCCCGAGCTCTGGCCCGGCCTCCGACGTTCCGGGTTGCTTTGAGTCCTGAGGCCTCCAGGGCACACTCCTCCTCCTCCTCCTCCTCCTCCTCCTCCTCCTCCTCCTCCTCCTCCTCCTCCTCCTCCTCCTCCTCCTCCTCCTCTCGCCGTCGTCTTCAACTTCGGCGAGTTCATATGCCCCGCCGTTGCGGGGGCTGGGCGGGCGCCCGAACCGCGTTGCGCGGCTTGCTTCTTCTTCTTCTTCTTCTCCCTCCTCCTCCTCCTCCTCCTCCTCCTCCTCCTCCTCCTCCTCCTCCTCCTCCCTCTGGATTATCCCCTGAAGGGAGAGCTGGAGGGAGAGGAGGAGGAGGAGGGAGGAGGAGGAGGAGGAGGAGGAGGAGGAGGGAGGAGGAGGAGGAGGAGGAGGAGGAGGAGGAGGAGAGCAGGGAGCAAGGAGGAGCAGGAGGAGGAGGAGGAGGAGGAGGAGGGAGGAGGGGGGAGGGAGGGAGGGGGAGGAGGGAGGGGAGGAGGAGGGAGGGAGGAGGAGGGAGGAGGGAGGAGGAGGAGGGAGGAGGAGGAGGATCCGGAGGAATCCGCTGTTGGGCCCCAGGGCTGGGGGCAGGCTCGCCCTCCAGGGTGCTTGGGGCCCTTGGGTTTCGATGGTGTTGCGATGGGAAGCGTGGCGAAGTCGATGGACGTCCTGGGGTCTCAGGGTTGGGCTTCTCGTGGAAGGTTTCTTGTGGTCGGGCCCCTACTGAACAGCAGTAGATGTGGGATCTGAGTCCACTCCCCGGGGAGTGGTGCGGAACCCCTTGAGGCTTAGAAGGTCCAGGGTGCGCCATTTCAAAACGGCCGAGGCCCTCCCAAAACCCTCCGACGAGCCTCTGGGCATGGTTGCGGGAGGGCTTTCGCAGGGGTTCGTGAGGGTTTGGGCAGGGCCCTCGTCGTTTCGGGGGGAAGCCAGCCCCCCGCGAACTCTGGGGCTTCCTAGCCTCGGGCCGCGCGCGGAACAGTCCCATCATGGCAACGCTGGGGGGACGCGCTGGCGCGGGCCCCCAGCACTGCTGGTGCACCGGGGGGCTCTGGTGCCTCGCCGGCGCCCTGCGGGCGCCCCGCCCCGCGGAGTGCACTTGGCGGAGCGCACCCCGCAGGCTGCACCATGTCTCGGGTGCGCCGGCCTTGGTGGGCCCTGGAAACGACAGGGCCGTTTTTTTGTTACCGGTTCCGTTCTGCCGTTTTTTTTGCCGGTTCCGACGCCGTTTTCTTACCGGTTCCGTCGCCGTTTTTTGACCGGTTCCGGCTCCGGTTCCAATCCTGGAGCCGTTTTTGTTTGCCGTTTCCGGTCGCCGTTTTTTTTGCCGTTTCCATTTTTAAGGGACACGTTTTTTGGAAACGGTGAAAAAACGGCCCTGCCGTTTCCGGGGCAAAGGCGCCGGCCCCCCGGTGTTCAGCCAGGCGAGGAGCCATCCTGAAGCCTCGAGAACCAGTCGGAAGCAAGAGCACGAGCAGCCGATCTCGGCGGGTTCTGATGGACTCCGGCCCCTCGGGGGTGTCCTCGGGAGGCTGCGTGGCCACTCGGGGCCGCGTTGGGGCGGTCCTGAGGCTTACTGGAGGCATGTTGGAAGCTACCGTGAACAAGATTTGGCTATATTGTACAATCTGGGAGGCAATTTTGGGCTAGTCGGGGCCCTTTGGGGGCCGTCCGGGGACCATCCTTGGACCCTCCAGCGACCCGCGGAACGCTCCCTCCAGAGCTGGGGGGGGGGGGGGGGGGAGTGGAGGGGGAGAGGGACACCTCCCCCCCCAAGGGAAGAATGAGGCTCGAGCACCCAACTCGCTGAACCACCTACGCCCAAAAGGCTGGTGTGGTTCGGCTGCCAGTGTGCTCATCGGTTTAAAGTCGGGGCCCTGAAGAGGAGGGGCTCCGCGTTCCTTAAGTGTTTCGCAGCTTGCCTCAGGTTTCCCTTATGTTTTCGATCGGAAATCGAAGTTTAACTTATGGAGAAAGGGGGCCTCGTTCCTTGTTCTCGCCCCCCGGCCGGGCGTGGCAATGGCCGCCCGCGGCCGCGGCAGCGGGCGCAGGGTGCCGCCTCGCGGGCCCTCGTCCCATCTCTTGCCGTTCCTGCCCGTGCACCCCCCTTTGTCCTCCTCCTCCTCCTCCTCCTCCTCCTCCTCCTCCTGCTCCCCGTCCTCCTCGTCCTCCTCCTCCTTTTCCTTCTCCTCCTCCGCCCCCTCCTCCTCTTCCTCCTCCTCACTTTCCTCCTCCTCCTCCTCCTCCTCCTCCTCCTCCTCCACCTCCTGCACCTCACTTTCCTCATCCTCCTCCTCCTCCTCCTCTTCCTCCTCCTCCTCCTCCTCCTCCTCCTCCTCCTCCTCGGGAAGCCAGAGTGGACCGACGGGCCGGAGCATGTGCCCAGGCCCCGCCCCCCCCGCCGAGGGACCCCGTGCGCGCGCGGCGAACACCCGGTTGCCGCCCCAGGGATCCGACGCAGGCTCCTGCAGTCCTTGGATGCTTGCCTGCCCGAACTCACGAAAGCGGAACAATTTGGAGCAAGCATTCCTACGACACACACACACACACATCCAGCATTGACCACAAATCCCACAGCCGCGACCGAGGGCCCTGGCCCGCCCGCGCCGGCCTTCCAGGCCCCGCCCCCCGGCGGACTCAGGCGCGCCTCGCCTCGCCTCGCCTCGCCTGCCCGAGCTCACGAGAGCCCTCCCCCTTTGGGGGGGCCTCAGTCCGGCGGGAAAGCGGGCCCATCGTGAGTCGAAACAGGGCGCCCGCCGTCGGCGAAATCGGGTCGATGAGGGGGAGGGGGACGGAGAGGGGGAGGAGGGGAGACGGAAAGGTTCGCATGGGCAGTGCGACCATGTCAATGGGCACTTTCATCGTCTATATCTGCAGCCCCTGTGACCACCGCAGTATGGGCGCTTCAGATCATGAGTGCTTGCAAGCAGTGCGGCCTCGAACGGTGCACTCACGATGTTCCAGGGGAGCCCAGGTGGAACCGATGGGCATTTCAGAGGCGTGTAACGGGACAGATGCTGTGTCTTCCTCGTGTGACCAGGAGTGTCTTCCATCGACGCCACAGGTAGATCATACATGGCATTCTTAGCACCAAGAAGCAGTGGCCAAGTTTGGAACAGTGTTCTTGGCAAGCCAGACTGTTCAGCAGCAAAGGTGTCATTGTAGAAGAAAAGTAGACCGACTGGAGAAGGGCAGGTATCGTTGCGGGCGAAAGGAATGACCTTTCAGCAACAGACCGTCCCACCCGCCTCCCTGCAACAGGCTTTCAACAAGAAGCTGTTCCCCCCAAAGCAAAGTACCCCAACGTCGACCCCCAAAACGCTCACTTGTCGAAAGCCAGGGCGCCCCAGGCGCAACTGACCCACGGAGCCCGCCGAGGCCCCCAGTCCGTCTCTTGGGGCGCTGTCCTTTCTCCTCCTCCTCCTCCTCCTCCTCCTCCTCCTCCTCCTCCTCCCCCCCTCCTCCTCCTCCTCTTTGTTCTCTTGTCTCTTCTCCTTTTTCTCCTCCTCCTCCTCCTCAAGAGCAGGGACCACGGATTGGCTTGCCTCTTACCAGGCAGGCTCCTGAACAGCGAGAGGGTGGAACACATGCACACCAACAATATACCAGAGCCCACCACACAGCCAAAGCGCGCCCGGCGCTGAGGAGGGGGAGGGAGGAGGAGGAGGAGAAGGGGGAGGAGGGGGAGGAGGAGGAGGAGGAGGAGGAGGAGGAGGAGGAGGGCGATCGGAGGGAGGAGGGGGAGGAGGCGAGGAGGGGAGTGCGAGATGGGCATTCCCACTGCACTACTCGGTGCATGATGTTGCCTGCTGCGCTGCCTACCCAAGCTTTACCCACGTACTGCTCTGACATGAGAGGCAGCACAGTAGAGCCAACAACACGCAACTCCGCAGCCCAATTACGTTTCCTTCGCGCGCATATTGTTCTAGTATCGGTTACCCAGAATATGTGAGGAGATGGATGATGAGAAGCCAGAGCAGGATAGGAACCCCGCACAGCAACACCACACTGCCATTTTAACATCATACTTGACAGCCCGCACGACTCCAGCCCAGCTTTGAACACTACGGAGTCCAGCCCAGCGCCCTCAGTTGAGACACACTATACTGATCTGGGATGGGGGATTATGGTGTGTTGGAGTATTTCGAGGGAGGTGGGATGAATGCCTAGTTAGCTACCAAACTTCCTTTCGTACTTTGAAGCCACACGTTTCAGGTAACACAGTCCACACGACCCCAGCCCAGTGTAAACACTACGGACTCCAGCCTTTTGGGGCCATTGGTTGGGGACGGCTCGCACTACGGCTTGCAGCAGCTTCTGTACGAGTCCACAGGAGTTGTTGCCACGGCCTGCCTAAGTCATATCAGCAGCCCATCTTAAGATACCGCCCGCAGCAATAGTCAATCTCCTACCCTTTCGGTGTTCTCATGACTATATTACTGCTCATCTGTTCTTATGTTCCTCATCCTCTCCATCACATGCTTTTTGGATACTTTCTCTCCGCCCTGATGTGCATCTCATCTTCAGCCAGTTTTCTTCCTTGCCAGGCTTCTTTACCCACCCTTGTTTGCAGCTTACTGTGTTGACCACCGTATCGAAGTCGATTCACCATGTGCCAGCTGTTTTGCCACACTGACGCTGCAACCTATGTGAATTGAAGTCCGATCAACGCCACAAGTGCGATAGGAGGGAGGGGGAAGACGGAGGAGGGCGGAGAACGGCAGAGGAGGAGGAGAGAGAAAGCGGTGAGTCCGTGGCCAGCACCGCGGTTCCTGCCTTCAGGCCTGCCGCACCCTCCCCACCCCCGCCACCCTGCGCAACCCCCCACCCGCCAGTGCGCATGCACCGACGGACGCGGAGCCCAGCGGCTACGGAGGGGTGCAGATCACCGTGATGAGGCGGGCCTTGGCGCCGAGGATCAAGGATTTCAGATCTCCGACGATTTCCCTTCTGCAATAGTCCCTAAGGTTTCCCTCTATTTTGGCATCTGGGGTCCGCTAATCTACACCCCCGGGTCAGGGATCGGGAATTCTGGGGCCGCGAATAGAAAAGATTACAGTCGGATGTGTTGGGTCGAGGATCGGGTCCGTTTCGACGTTCTGGACCCTTCTCGGTCATCTGGAGACATTTGCGAACGCTTTGAGGGGCCTCCAGGGACTTCCGAAGGCTCCATAGTGATGGCGCTACGGTGACCCCAGGTAACTGATGGAAGAGGAGGAGTAAGAAGTGTAAACCCAAGGCGCACCAGCAATGTTGCAACAAGCCCTCCCTCCAAATTTCCTTTTTCACAGGTCGCTATAAGCGTGTATTTTCATTGCGGGAGTGCCCAATTGGAAGACAACCGTTTGAGACCCCTCAACCTTGCCACACGCCAGTTCCGGGACTTGAACTCCGCGGATCAACACCGCGAATCAATGTAACTATTGCGTCCTGAGATTTCTAAATCGTGCCAGGACATCACTCCTGGGACTCAACCGTACGAACATTTCTGAAACTGCTGCGAACTGTCAAGACAAATGTGCGTGGCGCTGAGGCGAGACCCACATTCTGAAAACCAGCCGCCCTCTGTCTTGAAAGCTGCTGCAAACTGTGAACACGAATGTGCGCGGCGCTCTTGCGAGAACCATCTGTTGAAAACCAGCCCCCCTCCATGCTCGGAACTGCTGCAATATTCTGCAATATTTCCAGACGACTGTGCGCGGCACTGAGGCGAGAGCCACATTTTGAAAACCAGCCGCTGCTACAAATTTCGAGAGAGCCACATTTTGAAAACCAAGTACCCTCCATCCGTGAGACTGCTGTATGTTTTTAACGACGAATGCGCGCGGCGCGAAAGCCAGAGCCACATCCATCCGCGAAGCTGCTGCAGTTTTCAAGCTTCAGGGTCACAAGTGGTGAGAAAGTCTCAAGCGGAACGCCCGCCCCCCCCGATCGACACGTGTGGGGGTCCGACAGGTTGGGGTTACTTAGAAGGGCAACTTATGAAGAGAGGAGAGGACTATCATGGAGTAGGGATGAGGGAGGAGCACGTGGGATGGGGGAGGTGGGAGGTATAAGCGAGCGAGAAGCCGAGCATCCGGAAGGACGCGTGGGCAGAAGAGCGCGCGATTGGTAACTCTTCGTGGAACATGTGAAGAAGGCGTTGCCGAGTAATTGCGTGCACACCAACACCCGACTGGTGAAGCAGAGCTGATGCCGGCGTACGGACGTCGCCACGAAACGAGGGGGCCTTGAGGGAGCCCAGGCCAGACCTTGCTTCGGAAGCAGCTCCTCTGATAGGCCTGTTCTCCACCACCACCACCATAAGTTGGAGGGGGGAAGGAGGAGGAGGAGGAGGAGGAGGAGGAGGAGGAGGAGGAGGAGGAGGAGGAGGAGGAGGAGGAGGGGAGGAGGAGGAGGGAGGAGGAGGAGGAGGAGGAGGAGGAGAGATGGAGGAGGGCTCCCTCCCCCTCCATCTTGTGGTGGTGGTGGTGGTGGAGAAAGACGGGCCCTTCCTCCTCCTCCCGAGGCCCGGTTGTCGTCGGCCCCGCGGCCCGCGGGGGACCCCCGCAGGCGGGCCCGGGGGCGGCGGCGGAGTTCCCAGGGCCCCTGCCCTCCAGGCCTCCCGGGCCGGACGAAAAGGGGAGGGAGAGGAGGGAGGAGAGGGGGGGGAGGAGGAGGAGGAGGAGGAGGAGGGAGGGAGAGAGGGAGGTGAGGAGGAGGAGGAGGAGGAGGATGAGGAGGAGGAGGAGGAGGAGGAGGAGGTGGAGGGGGAGGAGGGAGTAGGAGGAGGAGGGGCGGGGGCAGGAGGGGGAGGAAGGGAGGAGGCGGAGGGTGCGGAGAAGGAGAGGAGGAGGCGGAGGAGGGGAAGGAGGAGGAGGAAATGAGGAGGGAGTCGGGGGAGGGGGATGGGGGAGGGGGGAGGGGAGAGGAGAGGAGGAGGAGGAGGATTACGGATGGATGGAGGAGATGAGGCAGGAGGAGGAGATAGGATGGAGTGAGGGAGAAAGGGAATAGGGAGATGAGTGCGGGGAGGGAGGCAGGAGTGAGGAGAAATGGTTGGAGGAGGAGGAGGAGGAGGGGGGAGACGAACGAGAAGGAGACGGAGAGAAGGTGGGAAAGGGAAGGAGGCACGGACGAGCAGGGGGGATTGGGAAAGGGGGGTTTACGAAATCTGCTGCACGCAGCTGGTATCGGCCCCCCCGAGGGGCTCATTCCTCGATGCATGGCCGCCTCCGGCGCCGGGAAAGGAGCCTTGAGACTGGGGTCAATGCAAACGGAGGTCAGCCAGGGCAATGGATCTTGCAGGATCTTGCGAAGACCCCCTCTGGCTGACCCGGGTCAGCGAGCCGCTCGTGGCGGCGGGGCCGCGCCCATTGGCGGACCTGGGTCTGCGAAGACGTGCGTTGCAGTTTTTTGTTCCTGCATTGCAGTTTTTTGGTTTCCTGCTGACCCGGGTCTGGATTGACCCGGGTCAGAAGATCCCCGATAGGGGGCGGGTACGAAATTTGCTGCGTGCAGCTGGTATTGGCCCCCCCGAGGGGCCCATTCTTCGATGGATGGTCGCCTCCGGCGCCGGGAGAGCGCCGTGACATTTTGCTACGTTAGGTCGGGCCCGTCCCCCTGCAGGGGGATGTTGGGCGAAAAATGAATTACGCTACCGAGGAACCCCACATACTTGTATTATGACTGGAGTGGTGATAGCTGAAGTGAAGCATGTGAGAATGATGTTGGTGGCCGTTGCCCCGCCGAAACCGTTGGTGACGCCACTCAAGAAGAGAGGTGGAAGAGGAGAGGCGCCGCGCCAGCCACACTTTGCGAGCCCGGAACAGATAGCGACCGCACCCCCAAGGCACCCACTTGTGGCGTCGAGAAAGTGCCACGCCTGCCACGCTTTGCGAAGCCGCGCTTGCTATGCCTTGGACGACCGTCGTACATAGTGGCCGCGGTGAGGGACCAACCCCTGTGCACCCTGTATGGTGTCGAGAAAATGCCACGTTTGCTATGCCCTGGACGACCGTCGTGCGTAGCGGCCGCGGTGAGGGACCACCCCCTGTGCATCCCCCATGGTGTCGAGAAATTGCTATGCCTGCCATGCCCTGAACGACCGTTGTGCATAGCGGCCGCGCTGAGGGACCACCCCCTGCGCACCCCCTTATGGTGTCGAGAAAGTGCCACGCCTGCTATGCCTTGGACGACCGGCGCGCATAGCGGCCGCGGTGAGTGACCACCCCCTGCGCATCCCCTTACGGTGTCGAGAAAATGCCACGCCAGCTATTCATTGGACGACCGCCGTGCATAGCGGCCGCGCTGAGGGACCACCCCCTGCGCAACCTCAGCGGTGTCGAGAAAATGCCACGCGTGCTACGCGCTGGACGACCGTCGTGCATAGCGGCCGCGGCGAGGATCCACCCCTTGCGCACCCCATATGGTGTCGAGAAGTTGCCACGCTTGATATGCCCTGGACGACCGTCGTGCATAGCGGCCACGGTGAGTGACCACCCCTTGCGCATCCCCCATGGTGTTGGGAAGACGCCACTCCTGCCATGCCCTGGACGACAGTCGTGCATAGCGGCCGCGGTGAGGGACCACCCCCTGCGCACCCCCTTTTATGGTGTCGAGAAATTGCCACGCCTGCTATGCCCTGGACGACCGTCGTGCATAGCGGCCGCGCTAAGGGACCACCCCCTGCGCACCCCCTTTATGGTGCCGAGAAAATGCCACGGTTGCTATGTCCTGGACGACCGGCGCGCATAGCGGCCACGGTGTGGGACCACCCCCTGCGCATCCCCTATGGTGTCGAGAAAATGCCACGCCTGCTATGCACTGGACGATCGTCGTGCATAGCGGCCGCGCTGAGGG